GGTTTGCCTTGAGGGGATCTGACCACTTGCCTTGATGGCTCCCTGGGGAACAACTTGCTTGTTCTTACAGTAGTCAGTTGGACTGCTGTTATTGTTTTTGGTTTTTCCTGTTGGTCTTTTTTCAGTTAGTATCTTCTGTTCTTCTAGCTGCTCCAGACTGGTCTGCTCATCCTTTCAAATGGAAATTTCCCATCTCTGAAGATCTGGATGTTGTTTAGGCTTCCACCTATAGTCTTATGTAATGCAGAGGTTCTGCAGGAAGCCTCCTTCACTGGGCAACTTATAGCCTCATTTTAGGTATTCCAATCAGTTATGGGCTAAAGATGGACTTACAAGCTTTCTCTGGTGATGTTTCTGGCTATTCCTCTCTCTCCCCTTCAAGTGTCTATTTTACAGTAGTAGGCAAGGGAATCTAAGATTCAAAAGACAGCCAACAATCTTAACATCATTTCCCCATTTTTACCCATTCAAGCCATGCCTCAATCTTTGTATTCCCGAACCCTGTTGTTCCATGGTTATGCTTACATCGTTATTTACCTCTGTCCTATTTAGCCTATGTAAACCTGCCTAGCTATTCTCCCTTCCGCCTGTCCCCTTCCCCTTCTAATGTATAACCCACCCCCACCAGCACCCAAACTATCCTGTGTCTGTTCCCTACCCTGTACTCCACTATCCTGTGCCTATTGCCTACCCTGTAAGCACACTCTTGAAAATTTGCAAGACAGCCACTTCATGCCTTGATAGCAGCCCCATTTTAGGTAGCCAACATCTAAGTTACCCGCCCATGTTAACTCTGTGTACTGAGGGCATAGGCAAAAGCCCATTATCTTTTCATTTCATTTTCCAATGAAATTTTTGAAGCCCCCTTGTATGGTTATTTTAATTTCAAGCCAATTAAAATATATATTTTTTTTAAATTCAGGTCTACAATTGCACAAGTCACATGTCACCTTCTCACTAGCCAAATTGGCTTGTAGACTACAGAGTGAACACTGCAGGTATAGAACATTCCCGTCTTCACAGAAAGTGGACATATTTTCATTTTCTACCCATCTCTTACAGTATCTCTGGGCAGATTGTAAAGAGGTGACAGGTTTGGGGAAAGGCATTTTAAATGGCAGCAGCAATGGGCTCAAACGTAACGACAATTGTGAGGATGGTGCAGGACTGGGCAGTGTTTTGTTCTGTTGTGCATAAGGTCACTATGATTTAGAACTGGCTCAGTGGCACCTAATAACAACAACAACTTAAATGTTCATTTATCCTCTAAATATGGCTTGCTCTTTCTGTACAGCTTAAGAAAAACAGAAAGAGAATTTTATTTTCATCTAGCTTCAGCATGATTATGTGTGTGGAATTCACATTGATTGTCATGTTCTGCCTGCTGAATTCTCTTGGAACATGCTGAACTTATGGCAAGACCTTTGTTAATGCTGCCAAAGCCACTGGCAGAAAATTTCAGTTAATTAAAATCTCTTTACGAAGTCATAACGTTAAAAATGAACTATTCTGGACATAAGACAGTGCAAATTGTGTTGAACTCATTTTAATAATCATTTTATTTGCAAAGGCCTAAATTACCAACTTACCCTGATTAATCCCATCAAGAATGAAGAGCCCATGAGGTGATGACTGACAAGGGACAGTTCCACTCTAAAGACTGACCTAGTGCCATGTTTGAGGCCAACAAGTTTCCTGTTTCACTGTCAGCAATTTGAGGGCAGTGACTAGTCCTCCGTGGCGTTCTGGGCCCCACAGTGCTTTACATGGTGCCCGGACCATAAAACTTACCTTCTAAGACTTATTTGAACAAGTAAATGAATGCTTGGTCCACTCTTCCCTAAAAATCATTACATTTGAGCACAAGCATATAGTACATATGAACCATGAATGTTTTTTAGTTGTTTTTATCATGGAGTAATACCTACCAAACTATTAGGATTTGAATTCCTGTGTGGTTTTTGATCATTTTGGTGACTCTATGCCGAATGAGATTAGGGATCTGTGAACCACAGGCTCTGCTATAGACTCACACAAGAAGGCTAAAGCATAGCGTTGTCTGTTTGAATTACAGGAATCGTAAATCCAGTTTTAAGATCAACTGGTAAAGTTACAAAACACCATAATGAATTTAGAGTACCCTCAGAAAGTCAATCAACCATCTTGAGCGTATGTGTTCTATGTTGTTGTTGTTAAATGCCTTTAAGTCAGTTCCAACTCATAGCAACCCTGTAAAGGGTTTCTGAGGAGCAGCTGGTGGGCTCAGATCTGACCTTGCAAAACTGACCTTGCAGTCCAGTGCATTACCCTGCAGCACCATATATATACTGTTGTTAGTTGCTGGCGCAGTGACTCTGACTCACAGCAACCTTATGCACAACAGAAAGAAACACTGCTTTGTCCTCTCCCATCCTTATGACCATAGCTATGTTTGAACCAATTGTTATGGTTATTGGGCCAGTTCATCTCATTGCGAATGTCTATATAAGGGGGCTTTAAAAAGTTCATGGAAGAATTCCAGTATGTTTCAATTCCATTTTTCTATGAATTTTTTGAAGCTCCCTCATATACATCATCGAGACACACATGCATTTTGTTTAACATATATGAAAAGAAAACAAAATGTATGTGTGTAATGGAAGTTCTTGGAAAATGAGATGGATAGATGTATATCACCCATGGCTCGGCTGGGCCAGCAGTGATTCTTGTAAACCACTGAAAAAGTGTCACTCTCTGATGAGACCCGTTTTCTCTACTCCTGGCAAGTCTGATCCAAGTGTGTTAAAAAACTGCTGCAACCGTGTTCTGCATCAGGAGAATTCTGAAGCTGTAACTTGGCTCAACTCCTTTTCTTCATTTAAATCATCTCCTTTCCAACTAAATGGGTCATGAATCTGCCAAACACTAACATCTATTGTGGCCTGTGGCCTGAGGTTATGAAATACCTTAAAGGATTTAAGGGACTAGAATTCTTTCTGTCATGTAACTCCTGGTGTTCGTTATGGGATAATGACAAGGCCTTAATTCTTCATTTTCAGATAACAGTCAACAGAGATAGTGATGAAGACGTCAGCACACCCAAACATGGGAAGGAAGATCCAGAAAACATGCCCCATGTAGGTGGCAATACCTGGGCTGGTGGAACAGGTGGGTAGCAGGTCTACAAGTCTGTGTAGCCAGCACACGGCGTAAGGAGGGGCCAGCTTTCCTGCTGAAGCTCACTCTGAAGTCAGTCTGATTGTGCTCATATCCTTTTTGCCTCAGTTCAACATCAAGACATAGGAAAGGCATGGCATTTGTTGTCTGGCAAACTCTGCCACCCTATGATCTTAAACCACTCTTACCCTCTGTAAAAAGTGTGACATCAACCATCCCTCCTACAGCACTCTCTACTCAGCTGGGCTCAATAATCTGTTGCAGTGACCACACAGAACTCAGACCCCACACTCACAGTTATGGGGTTTATTAGGGAAGTTAACCGGTTATAATTCAGGGACAGAAATGCTCAGGGCACAGTCTACCTGTCAGGACAGCCACTCCACAGCCTCACTCACAGGCAGGCTTTGCTCTCCCTGGACAATGTTACAAAGTTCTTTGAGGGCTGCTGATAAATGCTCACAGGCACACTACTACACTGTAAGCTTCGGCATGAAGGTACTCACCTCTAGCTCTGTGGGTCATCAAACAGCTCCTCCAGTGAAGTGCTTAGAGGCACCCCATTCTACAAGCAAGCTTCCTACCCAGTCACTCAGCTTTACTTGCTCTGTAGACTGGGAGGCCCACCACTCTGTCTCATGCTACTGCTGCTCCTCTGCCACTCCTCCAGTGTCCCTGGCTGGGTCAAGGAGGCTCAATGCACTGGGATTTCAGGACCCAAAGGACATGCCCCACTCCGTGCTCTAAAGGTAGTGAGATTCCCCACTCCTACTTCTGAGATGGTTTGTTACACACATGCTGGTTGGTTGGTTATGTACCATGGAGTCGGATCGGACTCACAGCAACCCTGAATAAGGTTTCTGAGGCTGTACATTTTTATGGGAGCAGAACACCTCATCTTTTCTCTCATGGAACAGCTGGTAGTTCTGACCTTGAGGTTAGCAGCCCAACTTGTAATCACTACACTACCAGAACTCCTACACACATGTTGTTGTTGTTAAGTGCTGTAGAATTGATTCCGACTCATAGCAACCCTGTATAGGGTTTCCAAGGAGCAGCTGGTGAGCTTGAACCACCAACCCTGTAGTTCAGACAGCTTTGCAGTCTGACACATTAGCCCACAGCACCACACCAGGACTCCACACACACATGTTGTTGTTGTTAAGTACTGTGGAGTCGATTCCGACTCATAGTGACCCTGGGCAAGGTTTCCAAGGGAGCAGAAAGCCTCCTCTTTCTCCCGCGGAACAGCTGGTAGTTTTGAACTGCCGACCTTGAGGTTAGCAACCCGATTCGTAACCACTACGCTACCAGAGCTCGACACACGTTAGAGCTACACATTTTTATAATCGCAGTTAACTTTGTTAACAATCATTCACAACTGAATCATATCATCCTATCAGTATCTTCTCCCTCCTTCTCTTACCCAAAACCCATCAGGAAAGAATGGTTTGGTGGGAGTTACAAAGACGAAGGCTAGAAGAGACATTGCACCTCACCCTCTTTGAGTTGCTTCATTAGGATGTGGGGGATAATATTAACTGTCTCAAAAGTTTATTTAAATAAAAACACCACCACCACCACCAAGCTCATTGCCACTGAGTCTATTCCAACTCATAGTGACCCAGGTTCCAGAGTACTACTGCCCCACAGAATTTCTAATGTCCTAGTTTTCACAGAGGTAAACCACCACATCTTTCTCTCACAGAGCACCTGGTGCATTTAAACCGCTGACCTTTCAATTAGAAGCCCAGAGCTTAAGCACTGTGCCACTAGGACTTCTTCACAAGGTTATGATGAGGATAAAATGAGGTTATGATTATAATGCACCGAACACAACCTAGCATGCAGAATGAATACATTAACACGTTAATCCCATTTTAAAAAAATCCCTACCCTAGGACCATTCATTCTTGACCAAATGACTTTGCAAAGAACTAGTCCTGTCTCCCACATGTCAGGAGTGAGTGTGTTGAGGATGCAGGATCTTGAGATAAGAGAGTTAGTGACATTTTGAACCGATGGCTGTGGTCCACTCCTTCCTCTTGGCTGTAGTACTAGAGCATTGTTCCCTTGACTGTCGTCTTCCTCTTTCCTCTGTGGCAGCTGGAGACGACACATCTGCTGGGCCTCAGGAATAGGGCCAGACGGAGTGTACACCGTCTGATCTTATCTCCACTGGGAGTGCTCCTCATGCAAGCTCCCTGCTTCACCTTCCCCTGGTTTGGTCTGTGCCTCTTGCCCTTGGCAGCCTCAGGAGGAAATGAGTTTCTGTGCTGAGACAATGCAGTAACACACGGATCTGTGGACTTCTTGCCTACTCTGTTTATTTATCAAGCATCAGCTTTAAAGAAAGAGTATTTTTAGACATGCCCTTTGATCTGGAAATCAGTGTCAAGCCAACAAGATTTACTCCGTATGGAATGCCTTGTGGCTCTAGTGACCAGATGTAGAGATGTCAGCTGTGGAGTGGAAGTTATTGCTCAGTCTTCATCTTGAATCCACAGTGAGCATCTCTCTCCAGACTGGTTTTGCTTCCCCCAGCCTTAATTTTTCCATCTCCCAAGGCTGGTTGCCTCAAATTCTCTTGTTTTCTCTGTAACTTTTCTCCCTCAGAACTATCTACTTGGAACTAGGTTCTGTAGCCCGTCAAGTCCTCAAAGCTCCCTCCTTACCTATCCCCATCCTTATCTTAAGGAGCCTGGGTGACACAGTGGTTAAGTGCTTGATTGCTGACCTCAAGGTTGGTGGTTCAAATCCACCAGCCCCCACTTCACAAGAGAAAAGATGTGACAGTTCTGCTCTATCTTATAAGATCACTGTAAGAATCGACTCAACAGCATGCATCAACAACAACAATCTTGTGAACTGATTTGTGACATCCAAGGGTCAGCCCAAGATTATGCTTTGCTGTGTTGGAATCCCCAGGCAAGCCTTTTCATTTAAGTTGTTGTTAAGTGCCATTGAGTCAGTTCTGAACCATAGCGACCCTATACAGGGTTTCCCAGGAGTAACTGGTGAGCTTGAACTGCCGACCTTGCAGTTCAAACAGCTTTGCAGTTTGGCGCATCAACCCACAGTGCTTTCATTTAAGTTGTTGTTGTTGTTGAGTGCCGTCGAGTCGGTTCCGACCCATAGGGTTTCAGAGGCTGTAAATCTTTACGGGAGCAGAAAGCCTCATCTTTCTCCCACAGAGCAGCTGGTAGTTTCGAACTGCTGACCTTGAGGTTCACAGCCCGATTCGTAACCACTACGCTACCAGAACTCCTTATAAGTAGTACATATTAAAAGCTCTAAAAGTGGCGGGCACGAAGAACTCTCTCCTCTAGTCCTCTCCACCCACTATGACTCATGCTGTCCATCTCTCACACCAGCCTGTAAACAGTTGTGAGCCTTTCTTCCACTCACCAGAATGATGCCAACTTAGGGCCAAGGAAGTTCTCATCTCTAATTCACGGCTACACCTACCTAAGGAGAACCTCGTGTAGGAAGGGAGCCAGTCACAGTTCATCGTCATTTCTAGTTGCTGGCCCTCTCCCTTGTAGGCTACCTACAATGGACAACCAACAATCACATACATGTGAGAAGGAACTTTCCACCGCCAATTTCTAAACAAAAATGAAAAGATGTGCTCAAGCCAGAGGGCACAAACACTGTCAGGAGTAGGCCATGCATGGTATTTCCCAAAAGGAAATGACCTACCTGGAATTTCACAAGTCCATGCTGAATCCTCCTTGCTTACAAGACCAGTTAAGTCTCCAACAAAAAGAAAAATGTAACATAATTTAACCAAAATTTGAAAGCTTCCAAAATGTCCACTTTTTGAAACTAGAGATTATCTCATTCTGTGAGACTGGGAGTGGCTTCAATGTAATAATCAGAGCAGTCACTCATATAACTCTGATCATGTGCTGGGTTAGTTTTACAACAGTCCAATATTAGTAATATTACTGTCCCCATTTTACAGAGAAAGAGACCGAGACACTGAGAGCTCAGTGACTTCCCCAAAGATGCCGGCTAGAGTTAGAGCCAGAATTCAACCTCAGGCAATCTAGCTGAACTACATTACTTTGCCAGACTCCCATATTAGATATTCTTCTAACCAAGTTCTGACATATGTGGGTAACCAAAAGAAACAGTTTGTTGTTGTTAAATGCCGTCAAGTTGATTCCGACCCATAGTAACCCTGTATAGGGTTTTCAAGGAGCAGCTTAGTGAGGTTGAACCATTGACCTTGCAGTTCAAACGACTTTGCAGTCTGACACATTAGCCCACAGTACCACACCAGGACTCCTAAAGAAATAGTTTAGTTTGGTTGATTGGTTGATTATGTGCCGTGGAGTCGGTTCCAAGTCATAGCGACCCTGTACAGGGTTTCCGAGACTATAAATCTTTATGGGAACAGAAAGCCTCATCTTTCTCCCGCGGAATGGCTGGTAGTTTCGAACTGTTGACCTTGCGGTTCGCAACCACTACGCTACCAGAGCTCCTTAAAGAAACAGTTTACTAGTGTTTTAATTAGGATAAAGCAGTGATAATAAACTGGTAGCCCGGAGGCCAAATCTAGGCAGCAAATGTGTTTTCTTTGGTATGCATGAAAACCAAAGCCAAATTCACAGCCCTAACGTTGATTCTAGCTCATAGCATACGGTTTCCCAGGTTTCCCAGTCTTTATGGGAACAAGCCATCTCATTTTCCTCACTTGGAGCAACTGGTGGGCTCAAACCGCCAGGCTTTCAGTTAGCAACCCAACCCTTAACACTCAGTGCCACCAGGGCTCTTTGATTTGCATACTATTTTAAATAATTTGAATTTGAATGTATTTACATAAGACAAATTCTTTCTAGGTGGTCAAAGTCCCTGCCACTTCTCATTCATACTATACCTAACCCACCTCATTTATTTACAATTGCTTTAAGAGTTGGAGTTTTGTTTTGTTCTTTCTAAAATAACAGTCAAAATTGGTATAACAATTGACATCTAATCTTGGAGTCCTGGTGTTGCGCTGTAGCATAAGCAGTGGGCCAAAAGATTGGTTTGAACCACAACGTCGGTGGTTCGAACTCACCAGCCAGTCCTCAGAAACCCTATAGAGGGTCACTATGAGTCAGAAGCGAGTGAATAGCACTTAACAGCAACATAGCAGTCTTGGATAAGTGTTCTGATGTGGCACTATAAGATAAGCACTGGACTTCTAATCGCAAGGTTGGCAGTTCAAACCCACCAGCTGTTCTTTGGAAACCCTATAAAGGGTTGCTTTTGGGTTGTTTTCAAGATTGGCGTAACCATTAGGATTTTCCTGTTTGCCTTCCAGGAGGAAGAGACACTGCAGGTCTGGGTGGCAAAGGAGGCCCTTACCGGCTTGACGCAGGCCACACGGTATACCAGGTGTCTGAGGTGGAAAAAGATGCAATTCCTGAAGAAGTGAAGAAAGCTGCACGGGAAATGGCCCAGAAAGCTTTTCAACAGAGGTGAGTGTTTCCCTGGCCCAGGGACCGTGTTGGCCACTGGGGTAAAATGCCATAGCGAAGACCAAGAGTCTTCCCAGATTTGTGTGGGTCTTCCCCTTGTTCAGCAGTGTGAACCCCCGAGGAAATCCATAGCCACCCTCCCTCTTTTCTGGAGACAAAAGTCACCTGTCTTTTCTACTCAGCCTCTCGTACGTACACTACATGTGACTGTATAAGAAAGAATGAACACATTATAAAGTAAAACCAACAATGATTCTCCTAAGAGGAAATTTTAAAAGCTTAGTTGTCATAGACCCAATTCTGCCTTATAGCGGCTTTTCAGTGGCTGTTTTGGGGGCGCAGCCTTTCTTCCAAGGCCCCTCTAGGTGGACTCCAACTTCTACCCTTTTGGTTAACAGACCATCACACTAACTGTAGGCATCACCCAGGGGCCACTGAAGTTCAGATCACTGAATCCACATCTGTTCCTAGGCCACATAAAGAATTCAGAAAACTCTAAGTGATGGCCCACTCTTGCCCTCAGATTAATGTGAAGACAGGACTAAGTACACACACACACACACACACACACACACACACACACCTGTTAAGTGGAGCTTGTGAGGTGGGACCTGAACCTGAACTGAACATTTCAGGAAGAGAAGTGGAGAGTGAGCTGTGGAGTTGTCTGGAGTGTGTGGGGAGACCTTGTCAGCTGGAAGAGGTCTGAAGATCCAAGGCGAAGACTCTGTGGCTCTAGACCATCCCAGGTCACTCTAATTGGACCTCATTTAAAAGAAGAACAGTGCTTTCATGAGACAGCCTTGTGTGTTCTTGAGCCCAAAGTGAAAACTACCAATGGACCAGCAACCTCTCCTTTAAGATACAAGGCTTTGTTGGTGGTTTAGGAAGCAGATTTACATTTTTGTTCTCAATTAAAGGAGCCGGGTGCAGTTAGAAAAACAGCTCAAGTATATGTGAGTTATGAAATTCCTCCTACGCAGAACATCTGCTATTACATTACACGCTGTACTTACACATCCTGCAAGTAAACAGTACAGAACAATGGAGACAGAAATGCCGGTCCCTCTGGCGACACCCTCAGGAAAGCCTACAGGCCTTAGGGCTCTCCTGGGCACAGCAGGTAAACAGGAGCACGCCAGGTCAGCTGTGGGGCCGAGACTGTTACTCTCAGCCCCTCTGCTGGCTTCCTTGGCAACCTTGAGCAGTTCATTTTATCCTGGCTCTGCCCAGATTTGGTCTTCTGGAGTGAGGGGATTTCCCTTTCTGCCCCTGTAGACAAGTTATGAGGACAGATCCTGTGTTGAGGATGAAAACAGTTTAAATTCTTCAAAAAAGGGGGCAAAAAAAGATGGAGGAATATTATAATGAAAATGTTGCTCTACATTTGATGTAAGCATTAAAGTATCCCTTTAGAAAAAGAACCAATCATTTAGCTAAGGGGCCATTCTCCCTTCCCCAACTAAGGAGTTTCTATTGTTGCAGACCTCAAATCTCCCCATTTTCCCATCTGATTCTTCCATAAGTAGACAAGTAGGTGGATGCTTTGACACACGTAGTTCTTCTGGAGGGGTACAGGGATGGGAGTCAGCCAGGTACACACGTACAGCCCCTTCTCGGATCTGTGGAGTAAGGAGAAGGAACCTGTGCATTCAAAGACCATTGTCCCACAGAGGGAAGCAGCAAGGGACATCTGTGTAGATAGCACAACTGTTCCTGTGTGCTACAAATCATGAATGCACTACTGCACATTGAAAGCTTGGAGAATCAGGTCTGTCCAAAGGTGCCTCAGAAGAAGTTGATGTATGTGGTTTGCACTCTATTATATCCCAAGTGTATTATATTATATCCCCGAATTTGGCCAATGCATGAACATTTGTGAAAAGACCAGTACACACATGCATACGAGTAATGACATCACTTTGGTACCTAACCCAGAGACTGAACCCAGGCTTAGCCCAGGGTAAGGCCATCCACCTGAAGCTCTGCCATCGATCCTGCAAGGTCCTGATATTACTGACGAGTTCTTGGCATCTTCAGCACAGCATTTAGTTAGCCTGCATTTAGATCTGGTTTTTAGCTACATACCAAATCCTATACCTCAAGATTTGATTAGTTTAGGCTGACTATCAGAGGTAGGCAAGAATAATACATGCATAAAGTGGAGCAGAAACATTAAACCAACAAAACATGAGTGGAATAGACATGGTTCATACTCAGAAGAACCTTCAGGGTAGACACTGATGAAGGAAATCACATGCACTAAAAATTTTTGCAAAACTAATCAGCCATACACAGTGCATCTCAACTTAGGTTTGTTTTCCTTCTAATTGATTCACAATTATAGCCTTCAAGTCTGACCTATAAGAAAAAGTAAAATGAGAACTAAGATCTCTTATGTAATGATAAATATTTCCTTTTAAAATATACTGCGTCAACCACGTACTGGGATGTGATACAGCCATGTCCTGTAGTTTTGATCTGGACTAAAGCAGAAAGACACATTGTCACTAGATAATTTTTGTAAGCTTGAGAATACTAGCAATGGGAAGCTTATCTGATCCAGAGGCTAAAATTTCCTAATTTCCCTTCCGGTTCCCCCCTTCAGTCTTCACCTTTCAGAATTTATCAGCTTTGAACACCTTTTAGGTGACCTTTCTGAAATCTGACAGCACCTGGAATATGATTTCATAATTAAACCAACATGGCGTGCATTTTTGGGTACAACATGAGCCCTCTGAGAGGTTGCCCTATAGCTGGAGCTAATTCTGACCACTCTGCAAAGACCAGGCTGCTGAATGACTTACTAACTACCTGGCTCCTTCATTTACCTTAATATATTATTTATAGAGATATACAGATGTGTTTTTATTTCTTTCCCTGAATCAGTACTAATCACTTCTCCTTGGGAAGAGAGCATATGGACGTAATAGGTCGGAAGTGGGTGGGTGGACGGTTGGCTGCAGTGTTCAGTGTACCCAGCTTCTGCCAGCCTTGATATAAAACTTAATCTAATGAAAAGTTATAGAGAGGCATACGAGACTTCCACAACTAAACATAAGAAGTCTTATACGCATACTCCTTCCTATTTGTCCTTTAGTGAGACTTCCACAACTAAACATAAGAAGTCTTATACGCATACTCCTTCCTATTTGTCCTTTAGTGCAGAGAGTTAATTAGACTTAGACAGGCACCTTGACATGTTGCCTTGGAAACAACTAAGTAGGAAGTATAGTGGCCATGCCTGTATGCCCTGGGATGGCCCGTGTGTGCCGTTTGATAGCCAATGCCCTCAGTGTGCTGACAGATAGAATTTTCTGAGTGCCTCTGTGTGCAGGCATTGTGTCAGGTATTGGGGATTCGAAGGCAAATAAGACTCGCTCCTCTCAGAGAAAGAGTATCGAAAATACCAGAGTACATCACATGTTATAAATATATTTTTCATTAAGCTTTTGATTCCATTACTCATACACATATACAAATTTTTGTGTACTGGTTCTTAGTGTAAAACGTATTTTCCACTGTGAATGGTAATCAGGAAAGTCTGAAAAACTTTCAAGCTCCATTGAAAACTGCCCACTTGGCCCTGCTGGAATCTAAAATACCAATGCCACGGCTTCTGGCATAGTAGCAACAGGAAAGCCACCACAGTACGACAACACTAACAGACAAGTGTTGAGTGTGCATTAGCATTATGAAATTGTGAAAGAAATCCTGGTGTGACACTCTAGGATAAGCACTGGACTGACTGCAAAGTTGATTTGAACTGCAAGGTCAGCAGTTCAAATCCACCAGCCACTCCTTGAAAACCCTATATACAGGGTCTCTTTGAGTCAGAACCAATTTGATGGTGCTTAACAGCAACAAAAACAACATTATTAAAATGTTTAGAATAATGTGAATTGCCAAAATGTGACATGGAGACACAAAGTAAGCACATACTATTGGGAAAATGGAATTGGTAGACTTGCTGGATGCAGGGTTACCACAAACCTTGAATTTGTAAAATTGAAATGCAAGGAGGTATGTTTGTACCGTAAAATCCAGGAGAGGTAGGCCTTCTACTTAATATTTTTAAATGCTACATTTTAAATAATCCTGTCTTCTTTTTATATTTCAATCATTCATTTAAATTTATTTTGAGTCCTGGTATGGCACTGTGGGTTAATCCACTGGACTGCAAAGTCGGTTTGAACTGCAATGTCAGTGGTTCAAACTCACTAGCTACTCCTAGGAAACCCTATGCAGGGTTGCTATGGGTTGGAACTGACTCGACGGCACTTAACAACAACCATGCTAGGCACTGTACATATAAAGATAAGAAAGACTTCCCTTAGTTAAAGGAGGGTGGAACTGAGTTGGGGCGTTGTCAGGTGGCAGACAATGACAACCCTGTACTAAATGCCCTGGTAGTGATCAGCAAGAGGTGGTGTGAGAACACAGAAGAAAGACCTGGGGATCGGAGCAGGTTTCCTAGAGGTGATAGTCAATTTTAATTTTGAGGCTAAGTGGAAGTTAGTAGGCAAAAAGGCAGGGAAAGGACACTCTGGATGGGTCGGGGAGAGACCTGTGCAAAGGCACAGAAGCATGGGATCATAGTGTGTTCAGGGGGCTGCAGCAGGAGAGAATGATGAAAACAATAAGGAAGGAGCACCGGACCAGAAGGTAGAATTTCAAAGGCACGATAATATTAGAACATAATGATCCTATTGGAGGAATCCTAGTGTGGCATTGTAGTATAAGCACCTGACGGCTAACCATGAGGTCGGTGGTTCAACCCCACCAGCTGCTCCTTGGAAATCCCTACATAGGGTCACTATGAGTCAGAACCAACTTGACAGTACTTAACAGCAGCAACAAATCCTATTAGAAGTATGCAGTCAGCAGTTTCAGAAAATTCTTGCATGTAGATACAAAGCAACATTCTTTGGGCCTAAATTGCTATCTTGGTCAACTAACTATATGGTCTCGATCTTGAAAAGCCAACAATAGACATCTCTAGGAATCTGCCTCGTGAACTGATTTGCTGCCAGCGTTCCAATATGTCTCTGGGGTATAGCAGGGGTGGACTATAGAGCCAGCTGACACCAGCTGATGAGAGGCTAGTCCAGTGCATATTTCTTTCCAATCACTGTTCACTGACCTCCCTGTTGGTAGCCTGAAATCCCTCACAGTGGAAGTATTTGCACAACAGCAACCAGCAAATACTACAAGTCAGACTTTTATTTTTTACTCCAAGAGTCCACTGTTTACCAGCACACCATTGGACATCCCCTTCTTTGGAAACTCCAAACTAGAGACATCATTTCTTTCCTTTTCTTCACAAGTCTTTCTGAGTTACCAAGCCAGTTTGTTATGGCTCTACCAGTAGATCTAGAAGACCTAAGTGTTGGTGAGCTAAGCTGTTGGTTTTTTCCCCTCTTGGTTTCAGGCTGAAAGAGATCCAAATGAGTGAATATGATGCCGCAAGCTATGAAAGGTTTTCAGATGCTGTTCGCCGACAGGTGCACTCCCTCCGTGTCATTCTGGATAACTTACAGGTAATCTTCCATTCTTAAACCAAGAAAATGATCTTATTCAAAACTGAGTTCAGTCAGAAAAAAAAGTGATCGGTGTTAAAATATTGGTATACAGCAATGAGAACAACAAAGAAAAAGACAAGATTCAACCTCACCTTTTGTCCTGTCCAGGAAGCAGTAATTTTACCCTGATAATCAGCACCACACTCTCTGATTCCCCCACATAAGATCTATGGGTACCCATCTCTGTGAGAATTGACAAATAGAAGTCCCTCACAATGTGTCATTTTACTGGCGTTCATTGGAGGAGCAGAGGAGCATTTTGGGTAATTTAGGGTATACATTTGCTGTGCCTCCAGGCTTCCCCTCATTTCCCTCCCTTGTACAGTTATATAAAACCAAACAGTATTACTACAGTTTCTGAACTGTTGGTTAAGATGCTTTAATATTTTGTAAGCAATGTGTGATACTTGGAGATTTTACATTTGATAACATGTTTCGGTCAATTTTCACAGGTAATTGAGAAAGGGCTAAGTATGTTCTGTCCCTGATGGTGTCAGCGGTTAATGTGGAGGTTGAAGGTTTGAGTCCACTCATGGTACCTCAGGAGAAAGGCTTGTCAATCTACTTTCAAAATATTAGCCATTGCAAACCCTACAGAGCACAGTTCTATTCTGAAACATATTTTGTTTATTTGTTTTTAAGTATTTTCTAAAATCACATATGAAGTAAAATTATTTTGCCTAAAGAGGAAACAAGACGGGGCTGTGCTGTGTCTCCTCAGTCTGCTCTGGAATCTTCCGTTTCTTGTATTTGAAGTGTTTAAAGTTAATTCCATTGGTCTTACCCTTTACCTTTGGTTCTTGTTTGGTTCTTGTTTGGTTCTTGTTTAGGGAGGAAGTTTTATTATTTTTGCTAGATATTTGGGTAAGAAGTTCTATGTTGCAGTTTCAATACACATCTTTATGGGTTAAATTGTATCCCCCAAAGATAAAGGGACTTCAAAAAGTTCAGGGAAAGTGGAATTAAAAGAACTTTTAATTCCATTAACTTTTCAAACTCCCCTTATATGTGATAAAATTCCAACCTGTGGAATCCTGTGTGGAATCTAAGCTCCAGGCCAAGTTAATGGGTGATTAAAGGCCAAAAATGGGTGACTCAGAGGATGTGAGGAATACTGACAGTGAAGAATGAGTATAGTTCAGCTGTTCATTCATCTAAGTTCTTGATGCATACCAGACATTCAGGAGAAAAAAATAAAATATAACCCTGCCCGCAAGGAACTCAGAGAAGAAAAACAATTGTTAAGTTCTGCAGAGAAATATGCACAAGGGCTATTGAAAACCATTTGAGGGATTTCACAGAGAAAAGTAATGCTTGAATTCACTCTTAAAAGATGCTAAGGAATTTCCCAGGTGATTGGGGTGTCAGGGCATTTCAGACATAGGAAACAACTTGTACAAGTTCACAGTGGTATGAAGGGAGCATAGTGAATTCAGATTGTTCAGTCTGGCTGAATAGAATATGTTCATGGTATGAGGCAGTGCAAAGAGAGGAGGCTTGCAAAGTAGGTATACACCAGACCATGAATTACTCGGTGTTGGGTTCTACCTGGTGGACAGAGGCCATTAGAGATACGAGAATACTTTTTTTCCCCCCTAAATTTTACTTACTTTGTTGTTGCTGTTGAGAATATCCACAGAACCCATTGCAAAGCCCCATCCTTCCTGGCCTCACTCCTCCCAGCCCTACACCTATGGTTCCCATAGCTCCTCCCCTCTCCCATTGGCCAAGGCAGAGGCCTTCCTCTCCATTTAAAAGCAGTTGAGGGAGGAGGGTGACAAGTATGTACCACACTGGGTGACCAGTAACACCAACCCTAGTGACATCACTCACTGCCTTGTCAGACCCTTCCTTGTAACACCAGCTCCCCCTGACACTGCCACCACAAAGCCTGGGTTCATTTTGGTGTCACCTCCTCTGAGGGTGTCAGGGAGTACAGTCAGCACCCTTCTCACCCCCTAATGAAACCACTGTGTTAAATGTACTTCTGTTGAGGCTTTAAAATGATGAGCATGTGACTGGGCATTGGAAGAAGGGTGGTGCTTTTTATGAAGTGACAAAGGATTTGTGTGAATTACGTTCAGATGTTTGGTGGAAGGTAGATATTCAAATTCATCACTTATTAATTCTAACTGAAGAAATTTCTAAGCAAGTTCTTAAACTGTGGTTACTCCATGCTGCTTTTTGTAAAAATTGAGAAGGGAGAGATGGATTAAAAAATAAACTGTGCATAATGAAAACAAAACTTAAAGATCTGGAAATCCTGATGTACAGGACTCCTGTTAAGTGCCTTTGAGTTAGATCCAACCAATAGCGACCCTGTATAGCCAAGGAGCAGCTGATAAGCTTGAACTTCCGACCTTGCAGTTCAAACCGACTTTGCAGTGCAGTGCAGTAACCCACAGCGCCAGCCACAGTAACAGCATTTATTGAGCTATTGCCATGTGTCAGGCATTCTACCAGGGGCCTTACATCATCCACATCACTGTGAGAGCTCCTCTTCCATCATCATCATCCTTTCTAGTGGCCAAGTTGCTGCGTCTGGAACCAGACAGTCTGGGTTCTGTAAAATGGTACATGTAAATAATTTTAAAAAGTGCTTAGCATATCAGTTCTCTACAGAAGAATTAGTTTCACACAGCCTAGGGCCAGAGGCCTTGCCTTGCAGTGCCTCTACCAGGTTTCCTGTGTGGCTCCAAACTCCTCCCATCTGCTGCCCACCAAGCATCCACGACCTCTTGTCTCCCCTTTTGGTTTTCTGGGGGTTATCTTCGTCCATGGGCCTCCTAGAACTGCTGCTGAGCTTGTACAGCTGAGAAGGAGCCCAGGCTGGGATAAAGCCCCACCCACCAGGTCTGGGTCTGCAGCTCCCTGTCTGTCACCTGTATGTTGTTGTCGTTAGGTGCTGTTGAGTCAGTTCCAACTCATAGTAACCCTGGATAAGGTTTCTGGGGAGTGGCTGGTAGGTTTGAACCGCCAGCCTTGTGGCTCAAACTGACCTTGCGGTTCAGCACGTTATCCCTAGCAAAAGGAAATATTAGTCTCCATACAAAAGCCACTAATTTTAATCGTATCTTCTCTTCAGTGTTTTTCTGGTCTGAGATCAATCCTTTTATTCTCAGGCTAAACTAAATTAGCTTATCTCTCATTGCTTTGGATATCTAGCATCATGTCTCCACAAACCAACTATTATGTTCCCTTTTTTTTCCCTTTAGTGCTTCAAAATGAGCTAGCATTCAGATAAATGGTGTTTTCAAACACTGACAGCGTGGCGTCCACTGTGCTTGAGTACTGAGAGAACACGGTTACTAACAACACATTGTCCCTGTTCTCAAGGAGTTTACAGTCTCAAGGAGTGGAGTAAGACAAAAACGTCAACAGATCTTTTCAGTTCGCTGTGGTAAATGCCTAGCTAGAAGGATGCATAGAATTCATAGACATCCAGAGGAACTGACTCACAGCTAGGTTTGGAAGGCAAGCCTGTAGGAGCTGATTCTGAAAGGACACATGAGATGAATTAACCACAGAAGAATGGAAACAATGCTCACAGAAGGTACAACACTTAACAACAACAACAACGCTTAGATAGATAAATATGTGAGTAATTTCAAGACTGAACAGTTAAGGAATGATTCACAATGAAAATGTCACTTGAGCTGGATTTTAAAGGAAAACCATAGATTTTCAATTGATAACTCTTTTCTGAGAAAGAGGTTAGGAGGCCAGTCTGGACCTGTGCCTCTCAAATTACCTGTTGGGCAAGACCCATTTTTAAATATTTTTGTTTTTCCCCAATCCAAAGTAGATTGTTTTGTTGTTGTGTGCCATCAGGTTGGTTCCCACTCATAGAGAGCCTATATAGTGTTTCCAAGGAAACACTGGTGGATTTGAACCATAGACGTTGCAGTTAGCTGTCAAATACTTATCCTACCAGGTATGGCGCTGTGGGTTAATACACCAGACTGCAAAGCCATTTGAACTGCAAGGTCGGTGGTTCAGGCTCACCAGCTGCTCTTCGGAAACGTTATCCAGGGTTGCTATGGGTTGGAGTCAACTCGACAACACTTAACAACAGCAACCATACCAGGACTCCAAAGTAGATGAATGGTTTTATAAAATGCAATAGAAATGTATTACTAGAAAATTAGCACTAAAAAATGGCATGCAAGTAGAAGCCCATTTTATATATATATATATATATACTCTCAAAGTCAGCAGACATAAAGTCAGGAAATTGTGGAAATGCCATAAGAGTTTCTAAATGCTTATTGTCAATTTCTATTATCTATTTAGTCACGGACAAGTAACAAACGCTCACAGACTGGCAGCAGCTCGGGTAGCTCCAACAGAGGAGGAAGACTTGAACACAAGGCTGACATGGAGAATGACAATCAGCCAGAGTGACTAGAGTGTGGAATTGGTGGGTGTGCCTGAGAGCAGTGGGTAGCAAGAGAAAACTAGAGAGAATGTGAATCTTAAGGGCCTTGAGTGCCAAGCTAAGGAGGTTGACTGTATTCTCAAATCAGTGAGAAGCTGTGAAGCTGTTTGGGGAAAAGAGTGGTCTGGTTACATCTTCTTTAGTAAATTTCACACGCATAAATTACCTAAATTGATTCAAGACAAAACAGAAATCTCAATAGATCAGTAATCAAAAACCTCCTGATGAAGAAAAACCCAGGCCCAGATAGCTTCATCAGTAAATTCTACTAAACATTTACAGAAGAATTAACACCAGTCATTGTCAAACTCTTCTGACTCATTCTATGAGGCTAGCATTACCCTGATACCAAAGCCAGATAAAGA